GATAAAATAAATTGGATAAGGAAAAGGTGAGCATGAATAATTGAAATTCTGTTGAAAATTGCTGTTTCCTGTGACATTTTGGTCAATGACTTAAGTCCAAATATATTCATTCTTTTAAGGGTGCCTAAGATTGCTATACCAACTGGTTTCATTTTTAGCTTTCTCATTTTTTTCCTGCTTACCCACTAGTGTGGGTTGTTATGAGAAAGAAAATGGATAAAGTAAAGTTTTGTAGCAAGAGGGAAGAAGGAAAGTAATAAACATGATGATAAACCGAGTGGCTTACACTTATAAATATATTTATAATATTTACTCATAAAGGCAAATGAATTATTCTTGCATTGCTTTTTGCATTGTGGAAATAAGATAATGTAGAACACAGGAGCGTTAAGTGTAGGCAAAGGGACGAGTGATGACGATGATGGTTTTCCTTTTATTGCACCCCTATCGTGTGCCAGCCATGCATTAAGTGCATTACATACATCATCTCTTGTGACCCTCAGAATAGCCCAGGGAGATTGTGGTTCTTATGCACGCCTGACAGTTGAGAAAACAGATTAATGAGGGTGACTTGCCCAGATCACTCAGGTAATTGGCAGAGCCAGAAATCAAATTCAGTCCCCGAATCCCAAGCCCATAGTCTTCCCCAGAACAATGTTCAACAGAGCCAAACATTTGCAAATAAAATCTTCATTGGATGTATCATTTTTTCCTACAAAACATGTTGAAGTGCTTGATATGCTTAGGAATAAAAATATAGTTTTTCCAATGGATTTCTTATTGAAGGGAAAATATTCAAGGAGATATGTAGACTCTGAGAGCAGTACCTGACGAGTGTAAGTTACATCAGAGCCCCACATTGTTTGTTTCCATTTCTCCACTAGTGCACATCAGTTAAAAAATTTTTTAAAAAAATTAATGTACTTCAAAATTTCTGAAATAACTAAGTCTAGGAGAGATCTATCTATGCATATATATATATGTATATGTACGTATATATATTTCTTACCTGTGTTGTGAGTAAATCATAATAAAGTGATGGATATTTTGAGCCATTTGTCATTTACTATTTTTTTCTGGACAAAATGCCACTCAATTACATTTTTCAGGGGTGGACAGATTCATACAAAGGATATTTTAAATTTCTACTTGTAGAAATTAGTAAACAGCATGGCCTCTCATGGCTATTCAAGGCTGTTCTTGGTTACATAGACCACAGAACCAGGGCAATCATTTGAGATGAGCCAAGGTGTAATGGGGTCGTTCTTCCTGTGAAAGCGTTGAAGTAATTCAACTGCAAGCCTAGCCCAGAAATCAGATTAGTAAAGTAAGTTGCAAGAGTGGTTTCTAACATCACACTGATAACAATGTGGAAGGGATTCTGGAGGTCCCTTCATGTGTGAATAAAAAAGATGAGAGGTGACATAAATGCAGTTCATAATGTTATGAAGCCAGTGAGTACAAATTTACTTGGGATCTTTAGTGAGTGCCTGATTTATGCTTTACTGCAGTTTATTGATTGTTCCCTCAGTATGGAGCGCTGTCTTTGGTTCAGCGCCTACAAAGATTAGAGATCCACTCTGCCTTTATTAAGGAGACCTCCTTTGTGAGGAAAGCAAACCTTTGTGAGGAAAGCTCAACCAACACCCAGTGTTGAGCACGGAGTAGGCTCTCAATAAGTATCTGTTGAACCAATGTTTTGACCCGGTATGGGGGTGAAGAGTAAAAGTGTGTGGAGTGTAACGAATGCTATGATAGAGTAGGGCAGGATGCAAAGAGGTGCCTGGGCTCCTGCTCTGGGTTTAGATCAGGCTTCTTTAGGTGCGACCTTTGAGCCACATCTTAGACGGAATTACATAAGAAAGAAGGGTTAGGAGGAAGGCGGAAATGAATTTATGGGTAAGAACAGGTGCAAAGACAGGATGGTAAGAAAGAGCATGACAAATTTAGAGAACTAGATTTTAGGGATAGGTGGCATTGTGTTGAAAGAGGAGAAGGAAGATTAGTGAGGGCGACTTGAGGAAAGCCATAGATGCTCACTGAGAAGTTCTTATATTTTCATACAGACACGATTTCAAACACAGCATTGCCATAAAACAATAAAGGAAATAATAGTTAATACTTATATAATGCTTACTGTGTACTAAATGTTTTAAATATTTAAAAAAATTCATTTAATCTTCACATATTAATCCGAGGTAGGAACTACTATTAGCCCATTTTAAAAATGAGACACGTGAGGGCGCCTGGGTGGCTCAGACGGTTAAGCGTCTGCCTTCAGCTCAGGTCATGATCCCAGGATCCTGGGATCGAGTCCTGCATCGGGCTCCCTGCTCCTTGGGAGCCTGCTTCTCCCTCTGCCTCTCTCTGTCTCTCATTAATAAATAAATAAAATCTTTAAAAAAAAAATGAGACACGTGAAATATAGGGAAGTTAACTAACTGACCCGAGATCATTCACCTAATAAATGACAGCGCTGCGGTTTGTACTCAGTGATCTGCCTCCAGAACCCACACTCCTAGCCACTTGAGTATACTGCCTCTTAAGACAATGTCAAGTGTAGTGTAAATTGCTGTCGATAATGATATTTGAAGTATTTCAGTTGAAGAATTATTATTTTTGTGATCATACAGCTCTCGCTTGCTGCTTTCCAATAAACTTTCTCAAGTTGGAGAACAGAGATGTAGAAATACCTGGAACACTAGGAATTCTATGTAGCTCAGAGCACATTAACGAGAATGTGTTACTTGAGTGGCATTCTTCCATCTTAGGTATCATTGTGGTAAAAAAGATCGGGACTGCTCTTGTAGGAGATAAGAGATCATTCAGTAAGGGATGTAACATTGGGGATTTTAGTTAGAGAAATTAAATATTCCTTTATTCATGAAGGAGATGACATCATAAGTTTTCAAGTGGTATATAAATGTTGGGAATTGTTGATGATGTTAATATGAAATTCATAATGGATATGTATTTTTTTTCTATCCAGGGATCTTTCCCATTTGAATTTCCATAATCCCTTGTCTAGATATCACTTAAAGAATTTTCAACACCCTATCTATTACTCTGCATTGGTGTGTACTGGAAATACTTATGGGGTGAATAATCATCATCATAATAATATCTAATTACCCCATGCATTGTTCTGTGCACTTGATAGCTGTTTCTTCACTTAATTATTATAAAAACCCTATGAGAAAAGTGTCATTATTATCTCCATTTTTCAGATGAGGAAACTAGCGTTTAAAGGCTAACCTGCTCTAGGTAACTAGGAGTTCGGTTTTGGTCAGGTATGGCAAATGGATTTCACTTGAGCGTCTACGGAGTAGCTCACATAGTACCGGTTGATTGGAGTCCTCTTATTTGATTCCCCAATTCCTCATTTCTTTCTTGATTTATTTATAGTGTCATTTTCCATATGGATTAATAATAATGATTTAAATGCATATGACTCTTCTAGGACTTCAAAACATGTCCATATTCACTGTTAAGTCCCTACATGGCAAGTGAATACAAAGAGACATACACAAGTTGTGGAAATAAATGGGAAGTGAAGTTAGCATGGCCATGTGGGTCTTGACTGTCAGTGCTCTTTCCTTCCTGCTGTGCTGTCTTTTGTGACCTTAGTAGTCTTTGCAGATGCCAGGTATCTATGGTCTCATCAGAGACTTCACACTATGTCCAAATCTTAGAAAGATACCAGAGAACAGAGGAAATTAGACATCTCTGCATTAAATACTTGGAAAGCACCCTTATTGCTACTGTGTGATTGTGATCATATGTATTTGCAAGTTACTGTCTTAAGTCATCCATTTTGTTTGATAAATTAAATGCTTTGGAATTGTGTGATTATTGGTATTAGTTAAAAACTCTGCAAGTAGAATAAAGAACTCATAAAATAAAATTATAAAATGGACATATATAACTATCTGTAGTATATATTTGGGGACAGTACAATAGGAAAAGAGATAGCAAGGAGGAGACACTTTCTAGCACAGTATGGAAATTAAATCCAATATGCTGCGACAAGAAATCCAGGGCCTGGAGAAAAGATAGACACAAAATAAAGGGATTGATGTCAGGTTAATTTCAGAGTCATCCAACAAGGTGAAGGGGGAAGGGAGAAGCTAAGGGCTGTTAGAGAACAGGAAGGTCTCTTCAGATAGTGAGGCTCCATGCAACAAGTAAACATTGGGGTAGTGATCCCTTTCTACTCTTAAAACCTGTGATTCTGCAACAGTTAATCGGAGGGCAAGTAAAAGTGAGCAGAAGCTATGAAGAGAAAAGAGAAAAGCTGAAAGCTTCTTAGAGAAATGGAAGTTTAAAAAATACTGCATTTCTGGCATTTCTTGCATCTTGCTGCCCTGCCCCAGTGAACTAGGGGAAATTTTATGACCTGAGCAGAGTCGGGACTTCCCAGTGATTGCTGTCTTGCCCATTGGGAGATTCCCAACGATGGCCCACATTGATATACTCGTGCGCAGAGGTAGCAGAAGCAGGGGCTGAGAAAAGAAATTGAAGAAGGAACTGCTTTAGAGTGGAGTTCAAGTCCAAATAAAGCCAAACCCCAGGGGATGTGGCTAGACGTTCTCCGGCTGGATTTTGAGTTGCTGTTTGTAGTTCAGACATATTCTGCAGGAGGTGTTACGCTTCAAGACATTTACAGTCGTCGCTATTGACTGTCACTCTCTGTAGCCAGGATGGAATATTTAGCCTATCAACTTCTATTTATTTAACTGTTATGTACATTGCCTAACTTGGATACTCACCATTTACTTTCTAATGTGCATAATAAAGCATGTCTTCTTCCTCTATGTATGTCTGGGCTTCTTTTCGTGTAGAAGATATTATGCTATCAAGAATGACCTTGTATGGATCGCAATCTTCATATCTCTTACTACACACAATATATTTTTATCTACCATTCTTTTTTAGAGAAAAATAAGCTCAGTGGCTATCTTACTAAAGTTTTATTAACATTGTTTTCTAAACATTTATAGGTAGTGCTGGGACACCTGTCACTTTTAATGAAAACGGAGATGCTCCTGGACGTTATGATATCTTTCAGTATCAAATAACCAACAAAAGTGCAGAATACAAAATCATTGGGCACTGGACCAATCAGCTTCACCTAAAAGTAAGTTATCAATATAATTTTACATGAATGTGTGTAGTTCTCAAGGAGAAATGCTTTAAGTTTATAATACAAGTTTTGTTAGAATTGTCTTGTATTTATGTTTTTAAAAAATGTATGATTTTATCCTTTCTTCAACTTTAAAATGTTATGGAAAATCTCAAATGTCTATAGAGAAATCTGCTATCTGGAGGGATTTAATGAAAGACCTCATTTCCTTTTAAGTGACTGCATTGTGTTTAGGGAAATTTTGCCCTTTGCTGAAAGACTCACTTGTTTAAGTGTTGGTACACTGTGTGTCTATATGTGCATGTGTTCGTGTGTGTGTGTGTGTGTGTGTGTGTGTGTGTGTGTGTGTTGTGGGGGAGGAATGGCAGTGTGCCACAAGTGATTACATTTAGGCTTAAAAATAAGTGTATTTCACCTCTGCCATCTCATAAATTGAGACCTTATGCCTACATCTGATTGATGGAAGTGAATCTTGATCTGTATTTACATTACCTCTTTGAATCGCAACACTAGAGAAAGTTAATGTACCCAAAAGTGATGTTCAGATCATTTAACAGCTTTAGGGCTGACTGCTGTCCCTGTCTACCTAGATTGTCATCAAGGCCCAAGACCCATAGATCTTGCCGTTCCTAGAAGTAAGTGGCCATGGGAGGAAAACTTGGAAAGCCTAGCCTGTGTGGGGTCCCAGGGCCTGGGGTGGTGCTAAAGGTGGCTGGGCATTTGCCTGCCTTGGTGTCACCAACATAGAGGGCTCAGCCTCCTCCTACTGGGTCTGGCATGTAGGATGGCTGTGGGGTAGAAGAGCTTCATCAAATGTGCCTGGGTGGTGGCAGCCCTCCTGAAGGGATCTTCTAGAGAAAGGGTCTGTGGGGACATTGCAGAGAGCTATGTGGTACTGGCACCCACCAATTATAAGGGGCTCTGGAGCAGGAAGTTGATCCTGAACCTGAGGGATAAGGGAGACCCAGAAAGGGAGCAGGACTATCAATGGCTATATGGGGAAGGTGTAGGGGTGGTTGGAGTAGCACCAGCTTATCACTAGATAAGAAATGATTGCACCTTTCAACAGCCCATGGCGTGGTATCAGCGCACACTGGCTTCGTCCAGCATAGAAAAATAAGGAGCATGCCCTGTAGTCTCAGCTAAGGATTGGAGTTCATTCATTGCGGACGTCTTCGATAAATTGTAAAATCGGACTATTTACAGGAAAGGGGCCGAGGAGCTGCTCATTGCAACAGCATGTTTCTCTGTAGGCAGGAAGGTGCTTTTAAATGCTTCAATAAACTAGAACCATACTCATTTACTGTCCTATGATTCTAATGTCTATTTCATTCTCTCCTCCAATTAAAGTATCTCCTCTTCTTGATTCTCAAAGCTGTCACAACGCTGTGCATCACAACGCTGTGAGAATTGAGTTTATTTCCTAAATGAATAATGAAGTTCATTTCCTAGCCATACCTTATCCAACTAGAAGGTAAAAAAGGCTTACGACATACAGGAGGGTGGAGATCATTCTTGTCTGTGTGTGTATAGCACTTGTACATGTCCTTTCTTGTGTTTGAACCCACTCAAAAGACATTAGTTTGGTATTTTTAATACATTTTTCACTTTCTGTATCTCCAAATATAGTGGTATGCTTATGCAGCATCAACCACCAAAGTTTTCAACAAGGAATCAGATGATGAGAAATAATAAAATTGGAATATTTGTGATCTGTCTTTGAAATGACTTCCTGATAATTATCACACTTCTGCATTCAATAATGTGCCAAGACAGCTAATATTTCCGACTATTGTTGTGCTTTGTAAGACCACAAATCTACAGTTTACTACATGTAGCAGCCTGAGGAAATCTTATCTATTGTTCTGCAACCCAAACTGACATTTATCGAAGCACTGTTTTGATAACTCTACAGGTTATTATGCCAATCTGAAAATCAAGAGCTTTGTGGCAAAAGCCCTTTGAAAGTGGACCTATGTGGAATAACATAATTAAACATGACAAAGAAAATTTATAAGGGTTAAAAGAGGGAAGCTACTTTTTATCTGATGTTTATAAATGCCAAACTGCCTATTATATTCTTATGATTAAGGATGTACCTAACAAAATTCAATGGTTGAAAAATATGTGCACTAATATATAACACTAAGATACCTAAAATATTTATACATACAAGTACATACACACACATCTGTCTATGTGCATGATATATTTATTATAAAACTTCATGTTGAATCTCAAGCTGCTCTTTTATGTACACTTAACGGTGCATGAAAGTTTTCTGTTTATTATTGTGTTATTGTTCATAAAATATATCAAAGCAATTTGTAAGAATTATTTCTCATGCATGATTATGACCATTTGTTACTAGATAGTAGTGCCAGCCTTACTGAAACAGAGAGAATGTATCTCTCAGGAGAAAAGTAAGTGAATTAGACTGGGGGGAGAGACTGTAAGTCAAGAGTTGACTTCTGGAGCCCAGCAGGACAAATTGTTTCTCCTTGGATCAGTGACCTGGTTGAAGGTCATCCGTTTGAAGGAGTACAGGATGCTTGGAAGAATAAATAAATATTAATAAATATTAAAGTTCTGCTTAGATAGTAGTCAAGGCTCAGAACAAATGCTTTGCTTCATTCAGTTTTATCATCTGTAAAATGGAATCATTAGAAGTACCTATCCTATATGGTTGTAATAAGAATTACATGAAACAATACAATAAAGCATTTAATCCAGGGCTTGGGACACATGAAATCCATAGACATTACCTATTACTAATCCAGTATCTCGTGATTCTATGTGGCCAGTGGGAGAACTGATAATCAATGTGGTGAGTAGAGCACTACTTATTAGAGAGGCACTTGGATTTGCTTTAGAAAGTTCTGAATCTCGGGGGCGCCTGGGTGGCTCAGTTGGTTGGGCGACTGCCTTCAGCTCAGGTCATGATCCTGGAGTCCCTGGATCGAGTCCCACATCGGGCTCCCTGCTCAGCAGGGAGTCTGCTTCTTCCTCTGACTCTCCCCCCTCTCATGTGCACTCTCTCTTTCTCTCTCTCTCAAAAATAAATAAAATCTTTAAAAAAAAAAAAAAAAAGAAAGTTCTGAATCTCTTCATTAAAATGCTGACCATTTGTCCCCATCGTCCACTCTTTCTGCCTGTCTTTCATATTGGCCTGAATACTTCAGAAAAATCTGTCTACACTTAAAAAGCAACCTTTATGTAAGACAAATACAAACTTTCTTTTTATATGGCAGCATATGGCTAGGTATTATCAGCTAGGCAGTTATTTTTTGAATGGATTGGATAAATTCATTCTGTGCACATACTCAGTGCTAAGTTTTGAGACAAAACTGAGTAAGTGGTTCTCAGGGTGCTCACAGACTGGAAGGATAGACCAGCACTCAAATCAACAATGCTAGCGCATTGAGGCAGGAACACTGAGCAAGGGGTGTGCGCCGTGTCTCAGCGGCAGCCCAGAGAGAGGTTCCTCATCTGGCCTGACTGCTGAGGACAGCTGTGTTGAGGGACAGGGGAGGATACTCTCCTCCATGTACTCCATCTCTCCTTAATCTATTAAACCAGATTTTACAACAGATTTTACACTCTTGGCAGTAAGCATTTATAAGCCAGTTATCGGTCTGAATTCTGTGTATTTTCGAAAAGCCAGTTTTTCTGGCTGAACTCAACCATCGGACAGTTTTGTACACAGTGTACAATTAAGCATGTACGAGTGTGACAAATTTGCCCTGCATGTACCTTTGGTGGTGTGAAAGAATTTTTAACACGAGTAGGTTTTTTTTTTTCTTTTTCCTGGAAAATTATGAGGTGTTTTATTTCCTCGTAAGCATTGTCTTTATTGTTCCAAATATTATTGTTTCTTTTTCTTTAGTATGGAACTAACATATGTTCTTAATTTAGCAATTAGAATCAGTTAGTAAAATTGTTTAGTTTGATTTAGGTTTTCTATTCAGTCATCTCTGTCCAGGCATGAAGGGCATGTTGTCTACTTGAGAGTGAATCTGAACAATTAGGTCTCTGCATTTTGTGAGGCTGAGTATCCCAAGAGGCAGGTGGTCCTGATTAGTGATTATAAAACACATTGTAACCTAGAGGTTCAGAGTAAACAGCTGAGCCTGAATTGCGAGAAGAAAGCCATATGCTTCTTTATGTCCGCAGGGAGAAGGTATATGGAGGTTCCTGGATGTACCTAAAATAATGCAGGGCTCACTTTTTCTACTTCCAACCAGAGCTACTTTTTTTTTTTTTTTTTTGGATTATGGTAGGAATGAGGCATATGGTTTTACTTGTCTTATTGTTTTGTTTTCTTCTCTTTTTATTCAAGTAAATAATTTGGAGATAAATAAATGTAGTAAAGGACAGTGGCTTCATAAGTGTCTCAACCACAATTATTAGTGGCACAGTGTAAATTGGGAAGGGTGATTTGAAGGACAAGCGCTTCATTGACCCTGATTTAATTTTGAGTAGGTTACCTCATAGAAGAGAGTAACTCTTGACCAGGTACTGAATCCTGAACCTCAGTTTTCTCATCTGTTAAGTGGGGATAATAAATAGGCTTATTATGAGGACTGAAGACATTAGAATATAGTGATCAAGAATGAGACCTCAGGGGCGCCTGGGTAGCTTAGTCAGTTGGGCTTCTGCTTTCAGCTTAGGTCATGATCCCAGGATCCTGGGACCGAGCCCCATGTCGGGCTCCCTGCTCAGCGGGGAGTCTGCCTCTCTCTCTTACTGTCCCTCTGCACTCTCTCTCTCTCTCAAATAAATAAAATCTTAAAAAAAAAAAAAAAAGAATGAGACCTTAAAGTCAGAAAGAAAGATGTTTGAATTCCATCCTTCCATTCATGAGTCCGATGGCCATGGGCATGTCATATTACCTCTTTTAGTCTCAGATCCTTCATCTGCATGGAAACAGTCATGGCCACTTCACAGAATTCATGAGATAATTAAAGGAAATCACATACATAAAGATCCTAGAA